AAAAAGTGAAACGTCAGCTTTTGTAATGCACTCGCATTACACCTTTTAGCAACTGGGTAATTCCTCGTAATTGACCGCATTACCTCGAGTCATCATCGCAATTTTCGACGTAAAATAGAATTCGCCACTCAGTTCCTCACTTTCTATTTCATCAAAAAGCAATAAAAAATGTTTTTAATTCTTATTGATCGCGTTACGGTCTCTTCGAGGGAGAATTGATCGGATTGCTTTAGAACTTTGAAATAAACGATCACAAAAAGGTGAGATTGGACTGTCTGTTTCGCGTGCACATCTTGGTATATTCTATCCCGGATGAACACATTCGAGAGTAAAAGCCGTCATCCCCCACTCGATTCTATTCACACGCCAAAAGAAGGAGAATCTTCACCTCAATCGGGGTAGGTCACTTGGGAAGAGTCATGAAACCGTGAGAGACAATCAAACCTACTCCAAACTTCCGGACTAGACTAAGTTATTAAACAATTCCCCTTTCCCTTTCAGGTGCCATCATCCTTCCTGAATTATTTGTACGGTTCTTATGGTTTCACCATACCAACGCATTTATTGCTGCAACACGATGAGTTTCGATTGAGGAGAGTTATTACCGATACCTTCTCATTCTTCACGTTCATCTCATTTAGTGTCAATTTTTCGGAAACCTCTAGGGTTTCAGGGTCAAATTGACATTAAAAATTATTCCGTTTTTGGATTTTACCATTATTGAATGACTCAAAAATTGATTGTCTATTTTTCTAAGTTTTTGCTAGTGTTGGGAATTTTTGCAAAAGTTTATTGCAGACGTAGGAAAATTCCTCCACAGTAAAGAAACTCGGGGAGACATTGAACAATATTTTACTCTATATTTTTTTATGTCCATTTTATCAACTTTTTCTCAGAAATTTATTTAAAAAATTGAAAATTGAGAAAATATCGGCAGTAACAAATAAACAATTCGTTGAAAAAATATCCGATTTTTATATTTTATCATTATTTAATGACTCCCAAAATGTCATGATTGTGCAATAATTTTTTTGCATTTATACTAAACTTTTCACAAATTCCTAAAACTTTCGAAAAAACGCAGAAAAATTATTCCACACTCATGAATCTTCATTAGTCATGAAATAATGATAAAATGCAGAGTCGGTGGAACGTTTTTAATTAATTATAGAGGATAGGTTTGGGTATAAGAGCCATTGAAAGTCGATCGTTATCTAATACTCTTTCGCGTTAGATTGAACATTGAGTAATAGTTTTACCGGTTTCATCTTACACTGGGCTGTATTGGTCAATTATTCGTAATTGGATTTGAGTTGTGTGGGTATAGGACGATTTCACTTTGAAAATTGGGAACGATAAGTGGAGGAAATCAATACAG